ACTTTCTATAGCATGTAAAGAAGGATGTTGTATTTGTTTTAAATTAAAAATTAAAAAATTTAATTAAAAAAAAGATATGCTGATATTTTAGCCGTCTCTGCTAAGTTTGTTACTTTTAATGTCCATTCTTGAATAGTATGCAAATCTTCCTTCTTCCAGGATTGCGCCACCAACAGTCTTGCTACCGTTATCAAGTACAAAATCAAGTTAGTCTCTATAACAGTACAATCAGTAGTTATACCTAACAGGAATAACTGAGGGGTAAACTTTATCCTCTTTTTAAGAACATTTTGCATAATCCACCACATTTTTATCCAAAACTTGATTTTTGACACCACTTCTGACACTTTCCCTTTTTTGACACAAACAACATTTGAGGCTACAATGCAGACACAGTTGTGGGTGTCTCTAAAAACAAAAAGAGACAAGCCAATGCTTGAGTGGTCCTGGCATTCCCTGGGTTAAGGTCTATTCATTCCTCATGCTTGAATCTTGTTTCTTTCTACCTGCTAATTTTATCTGCCTTTAAAAGGAGCCCTGCTTATTTATTTAGTACAAAAATCTAAACTTAAAGTCATTTTCCCCTGGGTAAATTTACTGCTGTTCTTGTCATCCTTTCAGGTGAGGTCATGGCCATTGGAAGGAGTTTTGAGGAGGCATTTCAGAAGGCCCTTCGCATGGTGGATGAGAATTGCGTGGGCTTTGATCCCACAATAAAACCAGTCTCTGACATGGTAGGGGTTCCTGCTGAGGTGATGAAACATGCTGAATTTCCAGTAGCTGCTGTCCCCAGTCCCATTGGACTAAGGCTCAGAGCTGTGCTGTCCACAATTTTCTGTTCCCTCCCCATCACTGCAGGAGCTGGAGACTCCCACCGACAAGCGGATCTTTGTGTTAGCAGCTGCACTGCGGGCCGGCTATTCCATTGAGCGTCTCTATGAGCTCACCAAGATTGATCGCTGGTTCCTGCACAAGATGAAAAACATAGCTGATCATGCACTGTGCCTGGAATCCTATCGCCAGGCAGAGTCAGGGTCCATGCCACCTCATGTCTTGAAGCTGGCCAAGCAGTTGGGCTTCTCAGATAAGCAGGTGGCTCAGGCTGTGCTCAGGTACAAGATCAAAACATCAGTGTGTTTATTATTTCTCTAAACTGGCTTGGCTCCCTGACTGTTGTTGTTTTATATTATGTTACTAGCTGATAACCCAGTGTTGCCCTGGTATTTATTTATGGGGGGAAATGTCCGGACCAAATGTAATTTTTAATGTTGGATATCTCCACTTACCAAAAGGAGCCCCCTTGTGGAGTACTGTGAAGCCGTTACCATGGCAACTCCATTGCGCTGTACAATAGAAGTCATCTTATGGCAGTACAGCAGATGCCATTTTAAGGCACAACAGGCTGTACCTTAACAGAACATACACCCCGAGGGGTGTTAGGGGTGTCTTACCACCACAGTATTTTTTTCCAGAGGGTAAGTCATCTGTGTACCAAGTTTAGTTGAAATCGCTCAAGGCATTCCAGAGTTCTGCTGCAATGTACACACACACACACAGCCTTTTTTAATATATAGACTGTATGAGTAAATAAAAAGTAGCCCAAAGGGTTCTAGCTCTAGGTGGTCCCAACCACTAGTCAAAAACTGGAAGCAAAGTAATACCATCTGTTTACTAAGATCAGGCTTTAGGGATGGAGACCATTAAAAGGGATGAGTTATGTGGGGGGAAAGCTGTAATGCTGACTGTGCCAAAGTGGACACCACAATTTTTGTCCCTTGGCAGCTTGTTTTCTGACAATATGCTGAGTCCAAGCTAAACTAAGGTAGTTAGTTTTGATTCAGCATGTTGTGAGAACCCAGCCATTGTTTTGCCTTGATTCACATAAATATATGATCATGTTAAATCAGTGTAGCAGTTGTGTGTAAAAACTGAAGTTCAGTCTCTGTTTTAAATCAAAATCTCCGAAAACAGCTGTCAGTTGGAGCCAGTACCCTGACTCAGCATAAGACATTTTATTTTGTCCCAGTCGGAGTCAGAGACCAAAAAACACACAAAATTATGTGAAAACAATAAAACTAAACCAATTACAGGTAGACCTCAATTTAAAACAATTCATTTAGTGATCATTCAAAGTTACAACATCAGTGACTTGACCATTTTTCACACTTATGACCATTGCAGCTTCCCCATGATCACATGATAAAAATCCAGACGCTTGGCAACTAATGCATACTGATGACGTTTGCAGTGTCCTGAGGTCATGTGATCCCTCTTTGCGACAATCTGACAAGCCAAGTCAATGGGGAAACTGGTTTCACTTAACAACCATGTTGCTAATTCAACAACTGCAGTGATTCACTTAACAGCTCTGGCAAGAAAAGTCATAAAATGGGGTAAACTCATAATTCTTGGGCTCAATTGTGGTCGCAAGTCGAGGACTACCTGTAAAACACTAAAACCTTAAAAACGAGCTTGTTTTGTTTCAGCACGGAATTGGCAGTGAGGAAGATGCGCAATGACCTGAAGATTTTGCCAGTGGTGAAACAGATTGATACGGTGGCAGCAGAATGGCCGGCCCAGACTAACTATCTCTATCTCACCTACAATGGCACCGAGCATGACCTGGTTTTCCTTGAACCACACGTCATGGTCATCGGTTCTGGTGTCTACCGTATTGGCAGCAGTGTGGAATTTGACTGGTGTGCTGTTGGGTGCATCCAGGAGCTGCGTAAGGTGAATGCTTGCATACTACTTCTTCAAAGATATTTCCTAGCCATGTCAGGAATTTTCCTTGTTGGCCTTTGCTCACAGAGAGCTTTCAGTTCCTCCTTACGCCTCTGCTGTTCACAATCACTGCCTCACTTGTCTCTGAATGGGTGATAGCAGTGGTGAAATTCAATTTTTTTTCACTACCAGTTCTGTGGGCATGGCTTGGTGGGTGTGGCAGGGGAAGGATACTGCAAAATCTCCATTCCCGCCCTACTCTGAGGCCAGTCAGAGGTGTCATTTGCCGGTTCTCCGAACTACTTAAAATTTCCGCTACCAGTTCTCCAAAACCTGTCAGAACCTGCTGGATTTCACCCCTGGGTGATAGGAAATCTGACAGTGATACAAGAAGGACATGTGTTCTGGTACTGGAGTGTTTCATGCAATCAACATCCAAATGACTGCATGAAGTATCAGTTCCAGATAACTCTTCTGAAGTAGTGGCAGGTCACCGAATATACCTGCAGATTTTTTGGATTGCTAGTCACCTATTGAGTCCCAGAGCCATGAAGAGGCAAATGTTGCTATAGGTGTGAGTAACAGGAGTTATAATCTCCATGTGATTTTCTCCAACAGATGGGCTACAAAACCATTATGGTGAACTACAACCCTGAGACAGTAAGCACAGACTACGACATGTGTGACCGGCTCTATTTCGATGAAATGTCCTTTGAGGTGAGTCCTATAAGGTTGGGCTGGTGCTGCATTAAGATTTGGTTTTTAAAAAGGGAGGGCCCAGATTCTCAGCATGGGAACGATAATCCAAAGTATGTTTTCAGCTCTCTGTTTTGAAATAGAAGTCACGGCAGTGTCTGTACTAAACAATAGGGGAACTCTAGGATGAATTGGTCTCCTCTTGAAAGCATTGTTCTTCCCTCTTGAGTTTTAAGCTCTGTATATTTAAGAGAAGTTCTAGGAATCTTAGTCTATGGCAGGCCTGTCAAACTGGTGGCTGGCAGGCTGGATGCATCGCGCACAGGCCACGCCCACCCTGACTCCACAAAGGCAAAAAACGTTGCGATACGTCACAATAAATCACGTGATGCGATGAGTTTGACACCCGTGGTCTATGGGCTTTAATGCTGTTCATGAAAGATTCTTAAAATCACGTCTTAAATCACTGAATTCTGAGCCTGTGGTGGGTGTGTGTGTGTGTGTGTGTACAGGGTAGAAATAAACTCATTTACTTCAGATATTATTCACGTGGCATTTCTTTCCTTGAGGATAGCACTTATGTCTCAGTTCCCACAGATGCTTCCTGGAGTGTACCAGCATTTTTCTTACATCTGTCCCCTTTTTAGACAATATTATCTCTTCAAGCAGTTTATGACAACAGGAAGGGTCACACTCTGCTCAGGGCCTCAAAACAATCAGGTTCAAGAAGGAAGAGGAGGATGGTCTTCAGGACAAGGAAGCAACAGTCTGCAATGCATTAACAATTAACTGCATTTCCTGAACGGCCGCTTTGTGTTGTTTTGAGTTTTGTCCTGAACAGGAATTTGTTTTTGTTTTTTAAAAATAATATCCAGAATTATTGTGGCTACTGAATGAAACAATATATACTGAGCGTCAGCTGAAGCTCTGATAGCTCTTTGGCAGGGAGAGGCAAGGCAAGCTTCCCCTGACCATTCCTCCCCTTGTTATGGTCATCTTCCTGGGAAGCAGATGCAGTTTTTTATTCTTGCAGGCCTGTGTTCTTTGGCCAATAAATAGAGTCAATGTGTATTGCCTTCAAAGTTATTTATAAGTTGCCACTTGGGGCAACTTTCCTTTAGGCGGGACATAATAAAAGGAGAAACAAAGTTGGTGCCCATTTAAAGTCCATAGTGGAGTCCGAACCAGAAAGTTTTTTTTCCTTGACAGTAACTCCATGTTTGCTACCACTGGACTGAGTTTGTGTCATTAGCTATGATTGATTAATTTAAACAGAGTGTGATTTACTTGGATGGTATAGTTGCAGCAAACAGACAGAATAAGGGAGGCAGCAGTTGTCTCTCTATATGGTTGCCACAAGAAAAAAGGTATCTGGAGCTGAAGCAAAGATATGTTAGGAGGTGGCAGAACCTGACCTCAGTTCTAGGAAGTATCATATGGCCTCCTCCTTCTCCTACCCCTCTTCCCCATTCTCAATTTTGCTCTTCAGGTGGTGATGGATATTTATGAGCTGGAGAACCCTGAGGGTGTAATTCTGTCCATGGGGGGACAGCTTCCCAATAATATTGCCATGGCCTTACACCGCCAGCAGTGCCGGATCCTGGGCACTTCCCCTGAAGCCATTGACTCCGCTGAGAACCGCTTCAAGTTCTCCCGTCTTCTGGATACCATCAATATCAGCCAGCCCCTCTGGAAGGAGCTCTCAGACATGGAGGTGAATAGGAGGCGCTACAACTAAAGAGTGGGTGGGAATAAATGCCCCAAAGTGAGACCATCATCAGTTAAGTCTCTTTCCATTTAAACCATGCAAAGTCAGGGAGCTATAAAGCTGGCAAGTATATGAAGAAGTATAACAAATTGCCAGTGTCGCCCCTCTTTGGAAGTTTTATTTTTTCTTCTTTTTTTTCAATCCATTTTTTTATTCTTTATACGTATCAATGCATAAATTGTGTGTTATCTGAGTATCATACATTTCAGTACATATAAACATAATCTTATTACTCCTAGATACTACATTTCATTTCCATTATTTCATACTATTTACACATGCCTTTTATTATCACCTTTCATTTCTAAACCTCCTTTCTGTCTTTGTATATCTTAACATATTAATATATAATTACTATTATTCCCCTCTATTTTCTATCCCTATTTCATCTAGAAAAGTCAGGGTGCTATAAAGCTGGTTTTGTCACGGCTACAATAGTGGGATTTAAATAATTTAGCAACCGGTTCTCTGCCCTAATGACCAGCTGGGTAGGTGTGGCTCGGTGGTCATGTCACTGGGTGGGTGTGGCCAACTCAATGTCACTCACATTGATGGGCGCTTCACCTTAGCTGTTGCAGTGTAATAAGGGTTAACCAGAGAGGCAGTTTTTATAAGCAGGGCAATAAAGATTAGGCTAGAAACAACACCAGAATGTTTCCTTCCTGCCTTCCTTACAGGATTAGCCCTGTAAAGTGGGGAAAAAGGCAAAATAAGATATCTTCCAACAACCGGTTCTCCCAACTGCTTAGAAAATTAACAACCGGTTCTCCCAAATAGGTGCGAACTGGCTGAATCCCACCACTGGACGGCTAGTATATGAAGAATATAGCAAATTCCCAGTGTCACACACACACACCCTTTGGAAGTTTTATTTTTTTCTAATTGCTAATGTAATGAAGTGCAGACCGGCATTTTAGGGTGAGAGGGGAAATTAAAGTCTGTTTGTCATTGGTGCTAGCCTTTTTGCATGTTTTAGGGAAGGGATGATCTGGAAGGTGTGATGCTGGAAATTTCTGGTACAACCTGGGAAACTGGCAAAGGAAACAGTGGCCAAAGAGGGGACCGAAGGGCCGTTGTTGCATTTATAGCCTTTGTAACCCTTTGATATCTCTCCTTTGCAGTCAGCCAAGCAGTTCTGCTGCAAGGTAGGATACCCATGCGTGGTGCGTCCTTCCTACGTGCTTAGCGGCGCTGCCATGAACGTGGCTTACACGGATAATGACCTGGAGAGGTTCCTCAGCAATGCTGTTGCTGTTTCCAAGGAGCAGCCTGTTGTCATCTCCAAGTTCATTCAAGAGGCCAAGGTGGGTAGGGCTGATGGGTGGGGTTTGTATGCCAAATAGTCATTTTGGAGAATGTGACAGGCTCAGCTGATCAAACTAAGCACAGGACTGTTGAAGAAGTTGAAAGCAGTTCCCGGGATGCTCATCCTTTCAACCCAGCGACTTACTATTTCTGTGCTCAAGAAGATCACAAAGGGGGATGCCCTGCTTTCTTTGGCATTCAGGCAAGAGAAAATGGATAAAGGAGGAAGAAAGGGAAAAAGAATTGTATTCGTAGATTAAAGGGAATAGTAGTATGATTGGTATTGTTATGTAACTAATTAAGAAATAAAGAAATTATAGTACATTGTTAATTGTAGAAAAAATTGAAAGAAATGCTCTCTATGTCAAAACGTAACTAGAGGATATATATTGCTTATAGTAAAATAGAGCAATAGAGAAATATAAAATGATAACTTGGTGTAATTTTTGAAGGGGCAATTGAAGATATTGTTTATGTATTAAGAAAAAATGAGTATAAAAATAGAAAGTAATGGAAGAAAATAATTTGGCTGAAAATGAAAACCAAGCTGTGATGTTAAATGGATTATGTAAATGAGAGGATGTAAAAGAAAAGGTCCCGTGAACACTTTGTTTCTATAATATATATAAAGTTGTATTAAAAAATAAAAAAAACTTTGAAAAAAAATAGGAAGACAGGCACGAGAGAGGTGTTATTGACAAGTGTTGAGGCTCTTGTATTTGCCTCCTGACAGGAGATAGATGTCGATGCTGTGGCCTGTGATGGACAAGTGGTGGCCATTGCCATTTCCGAGCATGTGGAGAATGCTGGTGTACATTCAGGGGATGCCACATTAGTGACACCACCACAAGACATTACACCCAAGACACTGGAGCGGATCAAGGCGATTGTGCACGCCATTGGACAGGAACTGCAGGTTACAGGACCCTTCAACCTCCAACTCATTGCCAAGGTAATATAGGAAGAGGAAGTGAGAAGTCACTAAAACCTGGCTATTCCGGCAGGCCTGGGGCTGTTGACTTCAGGAATGAGGTCCAGCCCCACCCAGATTGAGTGTATGGTGCATTGTTTTTAAATTGTTTCTTTTTAAATTGTTCTTTATTTTAACTTCTTATATTAACTTTTTCTGTAAGCCGCCCGGAGTCCTACGGGATTGGGCGGCATATAAGTCTATTAAAAGTTAAAGTTAAAGTCAGTGAGTCTAGCAGTCATGGTTAGAATGAGGTTTCTCAGCTTTAGTGGGCACATAAGCTGTCTGTGTGTTTGACTTACTGTTGTGGCCTGTCGGCCGCCAGCCCCTCCAGCAGCCAAATTAGAGGAGGAGAAGGCATGGGAGTCAGGGTCAGCATTAAGGCAACCAGAGAGCTCAGAGAGGGAAGAGGGAATGTAGCTGTCAAAGATAGAGAGCAAGGCGAGCCTGGGCTGTCCATCAGCCCTCAGATGGAGAGTCAACAGCCCCCGATCTGGAGGTGGCTAATGAGGAAGAGGAGGAACAGATGGGTCCAGTGCCTGACCCAAGGATGCGCAGAACACAGAGGAGAGGAGAGCAGTGGAAATCCATGGGCCGATCCTTGGGAAGGAAAAGCCACCACTGCTAGCGAAGCCCCACTCTAGCTCTGGGAATCAAAGGCAGGGGCAGAGATGGGTAGATGTGGCAGACAACTATTCATCTCCAGCCGGCCGGGCTTGTTAGCCTGCGGTGAGAGAGAAACTTTTTTGCCAGGGTTTGCTGATGCTCCTAATAAAGGAATCATTGATTTGACTTCAGAGGGTTTGTTGGGGTTTGGGGAGCTGGGTCAGAGTACTTTCCTTTATTAATTGAACAATAACAGAGATCGATCTTAATTAAGAGGTACTGTATATCTTGTAATGTTAAGATGAAATATGTGATGTAGATCAGTCTCTCTGATTGGCCTGATTTGGAGCTAACACCCTCTGTCTTGGCTGGTGCTCCATGAGCCATCCTGCCAACCTGCTTCTCTTTTCTGCAGCATGACCAGCTGAAGGTGATTGAGTGCAATGTGCGAGTATCTCGGTCCTTTCCGTTTGTCTCCAAGATGTTGGGCGTTGACTTGGTAGCTTTGGCCACGCAAGTGATCATGGGAGAAGAGGTGGAGTCCGTTGGGCTCATGACAGGCACAGGCATTGTTGGTGTCAAGGTAAGCAGCTGAAGAGCTTAATAGATGTATTAAGACAATGAAGATTTGAGCCCTGATGTACCTTTTCTTTGCTTCTTAGAACAGTCGCAGCTTGGATGACTTGGCTGTCTAATTTTGTTGTCCTGTTTTCCTACTCAGGTGCCCCAGTTTTCATTCTCACGACTGGCAGGTGCTGATGTGGTGCTGGGGGTAGAGATGACCAGCACAGGTGAGGTGGCCTGCTTTGGGGAGAATCGTTGTGAGGCCTATCTGAAAGCTATGCTGAGTACTGGCTTCAAGATTCCCAAGAAGAACATCCTGCTGACCATTGGGAGTTACAAGGTCAGTTGGATGGAAAAGTTGATGACTTTGCCAGGAGGAAAAGCAGAACAGTCCTGTTGGTGTCGTCATTTCAAAGCCTTTTTTCAGATTAAACATTCCTAATTTTAAATGGCCCAATATCTATGATTTTGTTGTAGTAGCAGAACAACTGGTAATGTTTCTTACAAAGTTTTCATTGTTCAAACCTTCTAGATTATTTTGAGGTTTGCTTTAAGGGTTTGTATGGAATGAAAGGGGGATGCGGTGGCTCAGTGGCTATGACACTGAACTTGTCGATCAGAAAGGTTGGCGGCTCGAATCCCTCGTGCCGCATAATGGAGTGAGCTCCTGTTACTTGTCCCAGCTTCTGCCAACCCAACAATTCGAAAGCACATAAAAAATGCAAGTAGAAAAATAGGGACCACCTTTGGTGGGAAGGTAGCAGAGTTCCATGTGCCTTCAACATTTAGTCATGCCAGCCACATGTCCACGGAGAAGTCTTCAGACAGCTCTGGCTCTGGGGCGTTGAAATGGAGATGAGTACCGCCCCTAGAGTCGGGAACGACTAGCACATATGTGTGAGGGGAACCTTTACCATTACCTTTTATGGAATGAAAAATAATCCAAATATCCTTGTAATAAATGATGGTAAGATTGGATTTCGGGAACAGGATGAGAGAGAGCGGAGATTGCAGGAATGGAAGGAAGTCAATGGGAAGGATTGGGGAAGGTGGCTTATAGTAAGAGCGAACATGCTTATGATATGTCTGAACAGATGTGCCTTGCCTCTTTATTTCACATCTCTTTTAGAACAAGAGTGAGTTGCTGTCCACAGTGCGTACCCTGGAAGGCTTGGGCTATAATCTCTATGCCAGTCTGGGCACTGCTGATTTTTATACAGAACATGGCATTAAGGTAGGTAAATGGATGGTCATGACACCCTATGGTATCTCTGCTACAAAGGCAGGTCAATTAGGTTAATCATTAGGCTAATAGCAGTAGCACTTAGGCTTATATACCGCTTCACAGTGCTTTACAGCCCTCTCTAAGCGGTTTACAGAATCAACATATTGCCCCCAAAATCTGGGTCCTCATTTTACTGACCTTGGAAGGAGGGAAGGCTAAGTCAACCTTGAGCTGGTGAGATAATAATTAATTAATTAATTAATTAATTAATTAATTAATTAATCTTTGAAACCAGAGTTGTCCTGAAGTTGGGTGACCTAGAAATGTGACAAATAAATACATTCCCAGAATGCTGGTTGGGGATTCTGGAAGTATGTTTATTTCTTTACAATATTTTAGACTGCCCCAGTTGTAAGACTCTGGGCAGCATACAATAAGGGAAAGCAGATTAAACAATTAAACAAGCAAACAGGAATACCAAAATGGAACAAAACATGCATACCATGTGGAATGCCTACATCAAGCAGTTTGTTTAAGACCAAACACACAATGGAAGGAAAAGCAAGGAGAGAGGTTGCTACACACACCTCACAGGGAAGCATATCCCATCCCATAGTATATAGGCTGTTAAAGAGAAGGCCTGTTGCCTCCTGCAAGTTCCATGTATTTCCCAAGAAGGAGAAATTTTTAGTAGACCTTTTGTGATGTTCAGACTGGATGGGCAGAATTGACCTTGACAAGGTGATACTGATGTAAGCCAGTACAGTCAGCCCCACTAGATAGACCAGACCAAGAAATCAACTCCACAAAAAGGCTAAAACTACCTTAATTGAGATCAGCTAAAATAAAATAACAGAATTTTACAGGTCTATGCTTAATCTCCTCCTCCTCCTTATAGTTATTGAGGGGTGGTTGAGCTGATTCCAAATGTTACATGAATGCTTTGGCCTTAAAAAATGCTTTAGCCCCCTTTGCGTAAGCATTTTTGCATATTCATTCTTCCAGCCTGATTCATTTTTGTACTTCAGAGCCATCATTATATAACTTATGGAATGTGTGACTCAGAAAAGGTTCTGATGACTCCCATTTCTATTTTGCAAATGTTTTGGGCTAATCTGCCAAGACCATGACTGGCATTCTTGGATTATCTTGAGTGTTTTGTATCCTGATGGCTGAAGGGCTTGCTGCTTCTTTTCTGGCAGGTGATGGCGGTGGATTGGCATTTTGAAGAGGCAGATGGCAATGAAATGCCAGGCAAGGAGAACCAACAGCGCAGCATTTTGGATTATCTGGCTGAAAATCACTTTGATTTAGTGATCAATCTGTCGATGCGCAACTCTGGCGGGAGGAGGCTCTCTTCGTTTGTCACTAAGGGCTACCGAACCCGACGGCTGGCCGTGGACTACTCCGTGCCCCTCATCATAGACATCAAGTGCACCAAGCTTTTTGTTGAGGTTAGTGAGGGGTGGCAATGACCAAATGAATTGGAGAGGGATTGGGCAGTGATGAAGAAGAACATGGGATCCAGCTTCAGGAGAATACACAGATTTCCAGTGTACCTTGTGGGTATATTGGATGGGGGTTGTGCTATGCTGTTCTGAGAGATTGAGTCCTTCTGTTCTTCTCTGTTTCTGTCCTCCATTAGGCTCTTGGGCAAATTGGAGGGCCCCCTCCGTTGAAGATGCATGTGGACTGTATGACCTCACAGAAACTCATCCGCTTGCCAGGTAGATCAAAGTTGGTGTTGTGGCCTGCCAGCAGCCAGCAGAGCTGGCAGCAGATTCAGACAGTGAGGAGGTTGGGGAGGATCATGGCCCAGTCTTGGAGTCTGGGGAAGGCTCTGATGAGGGCTCTGTGTTGGAGGCAGAGAGGGGACCAGAGCCGTATGCCAGCTATCAGCTGCCTTCAGAGTCAGACATCAGTGAGGCAGATGAACAGCTGGAGCCTGTTCCCAGTGTGCGCATGCGCAGTTGCCAGACAAAGGGAACAAATAAAGAATAGGGGTTGACTTGGGAGTAAGGCCACAGGTGGACAATGAATGGCCCCTCCCAGAGGAAATAAAAGAGGAGCGAAAGGGGAGTGGAGTTTGCAGGAGGCAACTAGTTCATTAATTGGTTAGTGACTCTCCGAGAGTCCTTGCCAAGTACTGCAGATATTGGCATGTCAACTCTCCAAGCCAGACAAGGTCTGTGACTGTAAATCCTCCTTCGAAAGACTTTGCCGGCTGTGAATGAGCAAAATTCACTGTAAATTAATTAAAGGGTTTTTTGACGGGACAAGAAATTTGCTTCATGCTCTTGAGAAGCCTCGATTGGAGCACTTGCATAGGGGGAAGATTTAACTAGGGAAAATAATGCATTTGGCTGCTCTTTTCCTTTTTAGAAAGGCTCACTTATTGAATCTGCGAGGTAGGATTTGTTTTTTTGCCAGCCCCTGAGAACACCGAGTGGAGAGCAAGGCTATTACAAAAAAGATTCCTGAGTCTAAGGAGAGGGGATATATGACAAAATAGCTATGAGCTATTTAATATGCAATAAATATTGCAATAAATTGCAATAAATATTATTGTGCTGTGATGAGACTATAAGAGATTCTATCAACATCAAGGTTAACAACCTAGTTAAACCATGTAAAGTTGGGCATCTGTGATTTATAGCTGAGTCCAGGTCCAGAGCTTGATAGACAGGAAAGATGAACTTGCTACAATCTATTTATGATCACAATTGAATCTGGAATTTTGATGATAAGTCATTGCTATCACAAGTCAAAACACCATGTGAAAAAAAGACTCATTTTTAAAGCAGTTTGTACCACGGTTGTAAAGTAAGTCACCATGGTCACCAATAAAGGAGAATATTTGTAGCTCAAGGTTGAAATGATGGATCCTTGGTGCTCTCTGAGTTTACTTGTTTATCCTGGCACCTTAACCACTAGACCAGACTGGCTCTCCCAATCCTTGAGGGCTGCAGAGTATCCCTTGTTGGTCCTTAGGGCACCATATTCAATTTTGACTTCAGGCTGGTTACATCTACACTGTGGACATGAGATACAGAAACTTCACATGAACTTCAGCTTTCACACTGTGTATGTAGAGATGAACAAGTAGCAGACCTATAAATGCATTTTCGTGGAGTGAGCCTTAATGAAGGTGACACCTCTGAGTTCACATTTATAGTGTTCTGCAGTAAATACCTGGGTTTGTACAATGGACTAGATTTGTCTAAAATGAGATGGACTGTTTTTTAATTCAGTATACTACTGTAACCCAGCGTATTGCATGTTAAACTGTAACATGGTTTATTATTATTTGCCTGTGAACATAGCTATTGTGCTCTATTGTGTAAAGGAGTTTATTCTCAGACTTGCCATCTTCTGTTAAAGGAGATCTGAAATAGGCCTATCTTTCATCTGCATAGTTTCCTATGAGCATTATATCACTCCCTTTTTATGACCCCATAATTCCCTTAATTCGGAGTAGAGTTGGGGCAACTGGATGGAGCTCCACGTTTACTGGCTGGATGCCTGTCCTGATGCCACATTATTCTGACCTAGGTTTCCCTAAAAGCAAGAAACAGATTCCTGGTCTCAACAAAACCCCTTTTATTAAACGAATGTGAATTCCTCTCATTCACATTCAGCAAAGGCCTGGTAAACAGTTTTTCAAAGGTGAATTTATGGCCACGACCTTTTCTAGCTTGGAAAGCTGCCATGTAAATATTTTCCAAACACAGTGCTGTGCAAGGAAATACTTGGCACAGAGTCTTTGAGATTCACGGACAGATCTTCACACTCCCGAAATGAACTAATGAACGAATTCTTTCCTGCAAAAGCCCACTCCCCTTTTGCTCCTCTTTTATTTCTTAAGGGAGTGGCCATTCACTTTCCACCTGTGGCTTTACTGCCAAGTCGAACCTGATTTCTTAGCTGTTCTTTTCTTCTGGCAGGTCTGCGCATGCGCACATTGGGAACAGGCTCCAGCTGTTCCTCTGCTTCACTGCTATCTAGCTCCAAAGGCAGCTGAGAACTGCCAGACAGCCTTGGCCCCATCTCTACCTCCGGTGCAGAGCCATCGTCCGAGCCTTCACCAGCCTCCAGGACTGGCTCATGTTCCTCCCCAGACTCCTCACTGTCCAACTCTGGTGCCAGCTCTGCTGGCTGGCCACATGGAGTTTGCAGCTATGAGCATAATAACACTGTGATATCAAAAACAAGGATAGTCCTTTTCCTCCACTGATTTCTCCTCTTCCTCTTACTTCAGGTCTAATAGATATCCATGTGCACTTGAGAGAACCAGGAGCCACCCATAAAGAAGACTTCAAATCTGGTACAGCTGCTGCTCTAGCTGGTGGCATCACGATGGTTTGTGCCATGCCAAACACTTCACCTGCTATCACTGATACCAGTTCTTTTGCCCTAGTGCAGAAGGTAAGGGCTGCTCAGATTATGACTAAGTGGGGCAAGGGAAGGATAGAACTTTTCGATAGCGGTATCCAGACTAGCAAAAGATTTCTGAAGAAACTGGCCCTTTATTACTGGTCTTTTGAATTAGGAAAGATTGTTCAGTGTGGACATTGCTGCTACGTCTGATGTTCTTTTTGTTAAATTAGTGGAATATTACCAATTCAATTTGTAATCAAATGTAAAGACAATACCAGTCAAGAAAATAATTTCATTGCTACAAGTGGAATTAATTATTAAAATCATGTTGCCTACAACATCTAGAAGAAAGTTGTCTTTACCATGATATAGGAAACTTCACCTGTAGTCATGTTCAAACTAACCAAACTTCAAGATGGAAATATTTAATGCATTTTTCAGCAAGCCTTTCAAATTATGGTCTGGCCATTGCTTGGACAAATGCTTTGTTGTTGTTATGTGTTTTGTTATGTATGTATTTATTGAATGCTCTTCTGGTCAAGATGAAGATATTCTGAGTCTAGCAATTCTCAGCTTGGTGTATGATAAGAGCAGCTAAGGCAACTATTAAAAAGGAGAGTAAACTTGTCACACCTTTTGAGACTGACTTTTTCCTTTTCCATCCTTGCCCACCTCTAGTTAGCTGAGGCTGGAGCCCGCTGTGATTTTGCACTGTACGTTGGAGCTTCATCCGACAATGCTGGCTCCCTGGGGCCAGTTGCTGGAGCTGCTGCTGGTCTAAAGATGTACCTGAATGACACTTTCTCTGACCTTAAGATGGACAATGTTTCTCTCTGGATGGAGGTGGGTTTTATTTTGTTCTATCTCTGGTGCTTTGTTTCTTTAGCAAGAAAGGGAAAATTGTGTTGATGTGGCAGATTTTATTCTCTTCCCTTAACTGGATCCCTGAAATGGAATTTCTACCATCCCATCTGCCAATATTTCAATAATTTAATGGGTAAGCTAGAGGGCATTCAAGCAATCTCTGGCCTATATTAGTGCATATTTACCTGCTATATTCAAATCTTTCTTTGATCTTTCCAAACCACTCCAGCACTTTGAAAAGTGGCCCAAGCACCTTCCAATTGTAGCACACGCCGAGAAACAGACAGTGGCAGCCATTTTGATGGTGGCACAGCTATACCAGCGTCCTGTCCACATCTGTCATGTGGCCCGCAAGGAAGAGGTAAGTAATTTTTTGCGAAAAAGCTTAAAGGATAAGAGTGTATGTTCAGGGAAGAGCCATGAACAGAAAACAAGGAAGTGCCTTCAAGATTTTTCTTCTTCCAACCAAATAAAGTATAATCTCTGGTATGACTAGAGAGCAAATGACTTGCAAGACTTCCTGCATGTTTATTAAAATCCTTGATATGAATCTGGATGAAAATTCCGGGGGTAACATTTCATCTCTTCACAGATCCTGATCATCAAAGCCGCAAAGCAGAAGGGCATTGAGGTGACCTGTGAGGTGGCTCCCCATCACCTCTTTCTCTGCCAGGAAGATCTGAGGCGTATTGGGGAAGGCCGGGGCCAGGTGCGCCCCATGTTGGGCACTCGTGAAGACATGGAGGCCCTTTGGGACAACCTGGACACCATTGACTGCTTTGCTACAGACCATGGTAAATGTCGCTTCAGTTTAGATTGCTGGAAAGCTTCACCATCAGGACATGCCCAAAAATGGTTTCAACAGTTGATAGCCCCATCCCCTTATTTCTGAGAGTTTAGAAGAATGTGTGAGCCTAGAAGCAGGGAAAGCAAGCCTGTCTGTTATACCAGGTTGACACAGCTGCTGTGTGAAACCTTTTCCTTTTGCCATATCTTTCCTTTTCTCCTTCCAGCTCCACACACATTGGAGGAGAAGCTTGGAAAGGAACCTCCCCCTGGCTTTCCAGGTCTGGAGACCATGCTGCCTCTGTTGCTTACAGCAGTTTCTGAAGGGCGCCTGACCGTGGAAGACATTGTCAAGCGCCTCTATGATAATCCTCGGCGCATATTTGGACTGCCTGTGCAGGAAGACACATACATTGAGGTGGGCTGCTGTTGCAGGAGAATGGTCTTAGGGGAGAATCTAAGAGCCCTTTCCAAACTTAAGGCATCTTTGCCTTAGCTCTGTTTTGTCAGAAAAAAAACTATTGCTAGAAAGCTGTCTTTGGCCACACAGCCATGACTGCCTGCTCAATGGCATGGACCTCTCACCATCAGTACCAGCAGCTGTTTTTTCTAAGTTGTTATATCTTCTGGCAGGTGGATCTGGAGCAGGAGTGGCTGGTGCCAACCCATACAGCTTTCAGCAAATCCCGGTGGACTCCTTTTGAAGGGATGCGAGTAAAGGGGACTGTACGCCGTGTTATTCTCCGTGGAGAAGTGGCTTATATTGATGGACAGGTAAAATACAAAGCAGCTGAGGAAGGGATGTAGAAAAAAAATATTCCCTTTGTCTGACTAAAGGAATCCTCTGTGGCCTTTTTAGCTACCTCCTATTTTTGATGGCAGTTTTGATGCCAGAGGGTTTAGGACTGATGTGAGCATTTTGTGTTGTATAGGTTCTCGTATCCCCAGGTTATGGGCAGGATGTGCGAAAGTGGCCATGCTCAGTACCTCTCCCAGCACCGGCCAAAGAGGTTCTGAAGGTAGGTACTGGACCTCAACTAAGAAGGCACAAAGGAGGAGGATGCTTGGGAATAGATGGATAAATAGATAAAGGTGGGAAATTTAGGGGATGCTGTTAGTGAAAAGGGAAACTATTCCCTAAGGTTTTGTTGCTCAGTTCCTCTCATCTTGCAGACACCTGAGCGTCCTCATACCACCGTGCAAACAGAGATCTTTCGTGGTCGGGCATCCAGTCCTCGGCGAGCTCCTCCAGTGGGAGAGGCACGATTCTACTTGGCCCCCCGCATCCATCGTGCTTCAGATCCTGGGCTGCCAGGTGATGGATGAAAGGGTACCTGGAATGGATTCCTTCCTGGGGCAGGTGTTTAGGGAGGGAGGGCTGGGGCCATGGCAAGCTGTCTCTGTTAGTCCATAATTCTTGTCCCCTTCCTTTGACTAGCTGATGATCTCAGAGAAAAAGCTATCAAAAAAGCACCTGAGCCAGGTGAGTTCTTTTTTTAAATCAGTTTTTTTAAATTCTAAGTAGCCTTGTGGAAAAAGCTTCTTGTTTACATTCAGTTATGGCCATGTAGATTTCAGTCTCTTACAGCCTTTCTCCATGGGCCAAGTTTGTTGAAGGAGAAATGAGGAGGGGGGAAATTTGTTGCTATAGATAACAAGACCAGAAAGGGATTCCGCTTTGGATTTTATATCAGATGGGACTCTTTGAGGCAGGGAGGCCAAGGTATTAAGGGCCATTGGCATTGATATTTTTTAATGTTGATTATAACATAGCAAGGTATGTTTTATCCCTGCAACATTGCATATCAACTAATGAGAGACAAATTAGTTCAAAACCATTACTAGAAATCTTCTATAAACTTGGAACAATGTTTTTAATCCTGGCCTGGTTAAAACAACAATATTCCTCTTTATATGAAGCCAGTCCATTAAAAATATCCCACTGTCTGCTATCTCATTTGACAAAGATAGTTTAGCCACCATGATCAAATCTCAAAATTGACATTTTAATTTTCAAATTAAATTTTCAGGCTTGACTATTTCTTACACTTTGCTTGTGGCATCAGTTAACTTAATCTGAACCTAATCTGAATATAGGCAAAGCACCATTTGGTTTGCCTTTTTAAAAGTTCAGGTTCTAAATAGTTGTTTTGCTGGTGTTTGTCCTGTTACTGAAAAATTCCCTCCAAATTTCCTCTCCCTTTTTTTTGGCTGGAGACCTGTCCCCTCTAGGGTTTGGGCAAACAGTATTTTCTATCCTAGTTACTCTAATACCATATTTTTCGGATTATAAGACATTGGAGTATAAGACGCACCAAGATTTTGAAAAGGCAAATTAAAAAAAAAAGTTTTTGCACTCTGCAGACTTCCCAAAAACAGACAAAACATTTTTTGTCAAAAAAAAAGGGTATGCATAGCCTTTAGGAGGCTTATAGAGTGCTCCTGGGGCTAGGGACAAAATTGAGCAAAAAACGGCCCATGCTTCACTCATTTCTGCCCTCCCCAACCCCCAGAAGCACTCTATAAGCCTCCTAAAGGCTATGAAAGCCCATTTTGGTGAAGGGGACGGGGTTTTGGGAGGCAAAAAGTGCTGTATTCAGTGTATAAGATGCACCCAGATTTTCACCCTCTTTTTTGAGGGAGAAAGGTGTGTCTTATACTCTGAAAAATACAGTAAATGATAAGAGCTTAGAATGAAGGCTTGTAAGATTACAAAAGGAAAGAATTAGAGGAACAACCCCAACAGTAGAGCAGGATAAGAAAAAGGCAAAAGAGAGACAGAGACACATCTTCTTTTGCATCTTCTGCTTGAAGTGATGATTTTTTCCCCTCCTTTATTCCTTCAGACTTGTCCATGGTCCAGGATGGCCCATTATACCTTGCTGGCCCATTACCCAAACAGGCATCTCTTCAGAGTTTGCCACATCCTCAAACCTCACCATTACTCCATCCTCTTGTGGGGCAACATATACTGTCAGTCAAGCAGTTCACAAAGGGACAGGTATTTTCATGCTAGCTTTTTCTCCTCCTACATTCTGTGTCTGTGGGCATGGAATTCCTGTTCTCAAATTCCTAAGCCGCTTCTCCACAACGTGCTCCTGTTTTTCGTACAGATGTCTCACTTGTTTAACATCGCACACAATCTGCGCATGTTGGTGCAAAAAGAGCGCAGTCTTGACATCCTCAAGGTGAGGAAAAAATTGAATTGGGACAATGGGAATGAGATTTGGGGAGGGTGGGGAAACCAGCAGTACTAAACCAGGGCTACTTTTGCACAGGGGAAGGTGATGGCCTCCATGTTTTACGAGGCAAGCACGCGTACCAGCAGCTCCTTTTCTGCAGCCATGTACCGTCTGGGTGGCTCTGTGCTCCCCTTTTCCGAGGCCACCTCATCCTGCCAAAAGGGAGAATCTCTGGCAGACTCGGTCCAGACCATGACCTGCTATGCTGATGTCGTTGTTCTGAGGCATCCCCAGCCAGGTGCAGTGGAGGTAAAGATGGGCAAGGGAGTAAAGAAGAGGTTGCATGATGAAGGAGTGATGGTGTGTTATGTTCACAGTATGATACAAGTTCAGAGAAACTAGCAATCCTGTCTCCCCTTCCCTTTCTCACCTGGGATTTTTTTCCCCCTTCTTGATAGAGGTCTGTCAGCCTCTTTGATGCTTGCTTGCTGTATTGGCTGCCATAGTAATGGGAAGGGGGGGGAAGATTGGCTTTTAGGAGGGGAAGTGTGCTAGAGAGAAATGGCCTGTGTGAACGAAAAGGGAGGATTGCTGCAGATGAATGGACTTGTTTATACCCAGTCAAGGTTGTTAGGTAAACTCCCTGTTGGGAGAGCGAGTGCGTTCAGAGAAGCATTGTGAGAGTTGTGTTGGAGAACACACAAACCAGCATACAGAGACACTGCAGTTTAAATAGGCTTTTACTTTTGTGGAAATAGAGGTATCAGAGTCCATCAAACAGTCCAAGTCATACACGGATAAGACAGTCAGTCATCAATGTCTTTCAGTTAAGGGATATTCCAAATAACATAGTCCATAAAGATACAAACTGTCCAGTATCATATAATCAGTTCAGTATTCAAAAGTTTGCTAGCAGTTGCAAAACTTACAATAGCTCACAGCACTTTCTAACA